GACCATCTCAAAATAAAAGAGCCAGGCGTGGTGGCGCACATCTGTAATCCCAGCACTTGGGAGGCTGAGGCAGGAGGATCGTTGCGAATTTGAGGCCACCTTGGGCTACAAAGTGAGCTCAAGGGCAACCTGAACTGCAGAGCGAGACCCTATCTCTGTTTTTTTGGTCTTTTTGAGACACAGTCTCACTCTGCAGTTCACCCTGGCCTTGAGCTCACTTTGTAGCCCAAGCTGGCCTCGAATTCGCAGCGATCATTCTGCCTCAGCCTCCCGAGTGCTGGGATTACAGGCGTGCACCACCATGCCCAGCGACCCTATCTCAAAAAAGAAAAGAAAAGAAAAAAAGTGCCTGGGGCATTGCTCAGTGTGAAGGCCCTGGGTTCAATCTGCAGTACCCCCCCCATGAAAAATTGTTATAAATATTACATAGTATATAGCTTTAAAAGGTTAACAGTCCTACAAAGTTTCTAACATAAAGCAGCAATCCCCTGGCCACCTAAGTCCCTCTCCAGGCAATGCTGAGAATGCTTTTAGTTCCCTTGAATCTACATCTCATTCTGGTTCTATTTCTTGATTTTTCAATTTTATGTATGATCATAAAACATGACTTAGCTCTCACGTGCAATCTCCCCAACATACATATGCTTCTTGGATACCCTTGTCTATCTCCTCCATCATGTTCTACTCTGGCCAAGCCACACAACTCCACCATACCCCGGGGATTCTCTGCCTCTCGCCTGCATCCTCCAAAGCTTCCTTCCTGGTTTCCTCCATTGTCAGGTTGGAGCACATCCTGCAGTAGCTGCCTGGGAAAGAATGCCCGCAAGGTGAAATTTTTCAAGAACTCACATGAAAACACCTTTAGTCTCCCTTCATACTTCATCGTCACTTGGCTGGATATAAAAAAGTCTAGATTAGAAATCATTTTCCCTCAGATTTCAGATTTTCCAATTTTGCCTTGATAATTACAAGGCCATTTTAATCCCTAATCTTTTTTTTTTTTTTTCCTAACCTTTTATATGTGCCCTGTTTTTTTCTCTTTGGGAGGTTTTAGGATATTCTCCCTTTATCTTGGTATCCTAAAATTAATTTCTTTCTCTTTCTTTTCCTTTGCCCCCTCTTCTTTCTTTCCTGAGAGTTAAACCCAGGGCCTTCACACTGAGCTACATACCCATGTCACTAGCCCTTAAATTTTTTATTTTTAATTTTGAGACAGGGTGTTCCTAAGTCAGGACTAAATGGTCAGGCTGGGCTTGAACTCATAATCCTCCTGCCTCAGCTTCCCAGAGTACTGGGATTACAAGTGTGCACCATCAGTCATACTTGGTGGCAGGGGGTATAGCTCAGTGGTAGGGATATTTGACCGCATACTTGGTGGCAGCCTGAAATTTCATCCCAGGAAACTTTGATCTAGTTTCTCAAATTTTTTATTTTGAAAGATTTCAGACATAGAAAGACACTCCTAATATAATATGATATATAAATATACATGTATAAAAATATAAATATGACAACTCATTGTCCCATCTCCAAACCTAATAAAATTTCCTGCTAAGTTGAAACCTCTCACTTGCATCTCTCTTCTTCCCAAGCTGTGTCCTGAGTCTGCTGTTTTACTTTTCTAATGTACAAGGGGTGGTCAAAATACAGTCAGTTTAAATTTATTTATTTTTTAATGTTTAAATTTAAAAACATTAAAAAACACATTGCAAGAGCAGTTGGCTAACTGTGTTCAAACGAGGGAGAGTATTTAGAGGGCTATTAATGGTGATGTACCTTTTTTTTTTTTTGGTACCAGGAATCTAACTCCAGACGTCACACTTGTCAGGTAAGTGCTGTGCTGCTGAGCTGTATCCCCAGCCCCTGATGATGTATCTTTTACTATAATAAACTTTTTTACTTAAACATTCACTTTTTTGATCACATCTCATTGATCAAATGTTTATAGCAATTTATTTAAAATACAAGCATGATGGTGTGTCATCTAATTTACCAGGTCTGGCACCCAGTGAGTTCTGGCTCTTCCCCCAAGTAAAAACTGACCATGAAAGTACAAAAGTGCAACTAAAGACACTCAGGAAACAGCACTTCCAGAAATGCTTCAGAAAGTGGCAGCAATGATTGATCAGTGTGTTTGAAGCAAGTGGGACTGTTCTGAGGGGATTAATAGCAATGTATCATTTACTGTAGTAAATTTTTTTAAAATTTAAACATTGATTGTATTTTGTACGGTATATTTCACACCCTGCGTTCTTTCACTAATTACATTTTAATAAGATTGCTGCATGTTTAAAAATCTCTATTAGTGTCATAATGTATTTGTGTCTCAGCCATCTGTTTCTTTACTTGCCATGTTTGTGACATTCATCTGAGTGCGGACTCATTTTCACTGCTGTGTAATTCGCTGCATGTTTCAAACTATCTATCTATTCTTCTGTGGGTGGTATTTAGAGTGTTTCCAATTCTTAGCTAATGAAGAGGTTCTACCCTAAACATTCTGTCCATGTCTCCTGGCACCCATGCGGAAGAGCAGAAAGGGCCCTCAGCTCTCCCAGAATACTGGTCATCCGGGCAACTTTAAAAATCCCAACACAGGAGCTAGGGGTGTAGCATACTTGTACAGTGCTTGTCTAGCACGCATGATGCCCTGGGCTCAACCGTAAGCACCACCAAGGCAAACCTCATGTTCAACATGCATCCAGACTTGTTTAACCACAATCCCTGGGGGTGGGTGGGCCTGGCATGAGTACAGTTAAAGCTCCCCAGATGATTCAAATGAGCAAGCAAATGTGACCACCCTTGCTCAAGTCCAGGGCTACTCAAAGTGCAGCCTTCCACCTGTGCATGACCTGCAAGCTCGCTGCGGGTGCACCTCCAACCCGCCCCAGGAGACAGTCTGGGTTCTGGCAAGACTTTCAACGATGGGAGTTACAGCTGCTGCAGGCCTCACCCAGTTTTACCTGCTAGGGATTGCTAAGGTCACTGCGGTGGGCACTTGGTCAGCTCTTTCCACACAGAGCTCGTTGCTTTCAACCCTAGGAAGCAGTGTGTGTGTGTGTGTGTGTGTGTGTGTGTGTGTGTGTGTGTGTGCATGCTGGGGATCAAACCCAGGGCTTCATGCATGCTAGGCAAGTGCCCTACCTTTAAAGCTATACCTCTGGCTCTTTTTTTATTTATTTTATTTTATTTTATTTTATTTTATTTTTTGGTTTTTCTCCGGTACCGGGAACCAAACTCACGACCTTGCGCTTGCCAGGCAGGCGCTTTTGCCGCTGAGCTAAATCCCCAGCCCCTCTGGCTCCTTTTTTAAAAATTAAACTTAAATTGATACAAACATAAAATTGTACATATTTATGCAGGTACCATGAGATTTTGATTCGTGTATGTATTATGCAATGTTTAAATCAGGGTAAACGTATCTCCTGTTATCATTTCTTTCTGGTGAAAACATTTAAAATCCTTTTGTGTGGTCACCCTACCGCACAAAAAACTCCAGGACTTCTTGCTCCTATCTCTCTGCTAACTTAATGCCCATCTAGGAAACATTCCTGTGCCACTTCTTCAGTGATTCTTCTCTGCTTCCTGTTTCTTGAATTCGCTGTAGTTGGAAGCTGGACCTTCTATATTCATTATGCCTTTTTGTTGCCCAATGATCTTGGCTTTTTTTTTTCTCTTTTCCATCTCCGCTTTTGTGTTTTACTTCCTGGGAGATTTTTTTCTCCTCTCATCTTCTGTCCCTACTCACACATTTTACAATTTCTGCTATTACATTTTTAATTTTCAGGAGCACTAACACCTCTTTAAAAACACCATGCTGTTTTCTTGTCTCCCGGGGCGCTGCGTTCAGAGGACACTCCTGAGTCCCTCCTGGGGGAGGCTGCTTTCAGTTACCACAGCCAGCCTGCTGCTGGCTGCCTTTGTCCCACTCTGAGGGACACTGACAAGCCAACAGGTAGCCTTGGTCGTAGGCAGGCAGGAGGCCTCCGGGTGGTGACTGGGCAGAGAAGCAGGATCTGGGGACTCACCATTGCAGGATCCGTCCTTCCGTTTTCTGTGATCAGTTTCCCCCCGAGAAATTCAAGTAACGACCTGCCTCGAGGTGGGTGGGCTGTGATTAGGGGGTTTCTTTACGGACCATCCCAGGTTTCCACGAAGCCCCTCATTCTGCGCTTTGGCTAGGCTTGGGGCTTCTTTACCCAGCAGAACCTTTGCAGTTCACTGGCGGCCGGCAATGCAGAACTGTCTGCTACCAGCTCAGAGCGGGGCAGCCGCCAGGCACTGTGACTATGACCAGGCGCTGAGGTCTTGGCACGTCTTTTTTTTGCAGTGCTGGGATGGAATCCATGGCCTCGTCCACGCTAGGCAAGTGCTTTACTCCTGAGCTACACTCCAGCCTCCACCTCAAACACTTCTTTCAACCAGTGCTATTTTCAGGCCCATCCTGAGCTTCCTCCTTAGGGACCCTGGTCCCTTCAAGTCCTGCGCATTCAGGGGATTCTGCAGAGCAAGGGGCTTGTTCTTTCCTTGGAGGCATTTTGGGGCCAGGGGAAGCTGACACTGACCAAAGTGTACTGCATTACCTTCCCAAGTTTTTCACACACTCTCATCCCCTGCCATCTTTTCTCCTGTTCCTTTGGTCCCTGTGGCTTATGCCATTTCCATTTCTTTACGTCATTTCAGTGGGGGTCGGGGTCAGAAGAATTTAGGAATGCGCTCACTCTACCGCAAGTAACCAGAAGGTTCTGTCCACTTAAAAACACCTTTACATGTGTACCTGTAGGTCCGTATGACTCATCTTGATGATTTTTCACATAGGCAGCCTTGTTTTTTCCATTCAACATTAGATTTGTGAGCTCCATTAGGACACACACATGTAGCTCATTCTTTTACCAAGGCTTAGGAAGGGTTCTAGCAAATCAGCGGGACCACATTCTTCCCATCCGATTCTCTGTCGAATCCCAGAAACCCAGCGACTGTGGTCCTTTGAACAACACACCGGCTCAACGCAAATTCAAATCTTTTATTGTTTTAATTCTGAAGCATAACATGTCCCAGGGAAACACGGCAAGGCAGAAAGCTAAGGGTTTGGAGCAGACAGGGCCCACGGAGAACCTGTCCCCGCCCTCCGGTGGCGGGAGTGGGGGGGCGGCGGGATGGAAGGGCTGGAGGGCGAGGACACCAACGTGCACAAACACACGCTTTCTCTTCAGGGACGGCTTCCAGAAGCATTTGGCTGCGCTTTGAATTGAGTGTTTTTTCACACCCAGCCCAACCTACTGAAGAGAAGTGAGTTCATGTCTTAGGACCCATGTGCCCTGGCAGAGTGAAAACACAGAGGTCAACGGAGGGAGTCAAAGAAACCGAACACGGAGCCAGTCCCCTGGGAAGGCAGATGCGGCTCCAGCCCCGGGGAGCTGAGGGACGGGGCGAGGGTGGGCTCATCTCTCATCGCACCTGCTCTGGGCTTCCGCACCCACCTTGAGGGGCCAAGCTCGGCTCTGCGGGGTACATGAGGGTTATAGTTCTTCTCGCCATTAATACAAACACCGAGAGGGCCCGTGCAGGGTCCCTCCTAGAACTTCAGTGCATACGAGAGGCCCCGCAAGAGGGGCCCCAAAGCCTTCCGGCCCGACCCAAGACCCACCAGAACACGGGGAAGCCAGCGTGTGTGTGAGACAATAAATAAAGATCACAGCCCAAGGGGAATGGTGGGCGAGGGGGGCCCCCAATGGAGGGCGCAGAAAGGCACGAGGTGGGGCCCTGGCCTCAGGCCCCAAACACTGATTTGCTGAGTCAAGTCAGGGAGGATCCGGGAAGCCCGGCCGCAGCTCTCTCTCGCTCGCAGTCTCCCACAGGCGAGTTGGCTCCGTGCACCGACCCTCCCTCGAAGGCCACGTCAGCAGTGGGGAGGCCCCCAGGTGTGTCTTTTGCCTTTGGAGAAGACAGAAAAAGGCCACCACAGGTGAGCAGAGATGGAGCCCTCCTCAGCGACCCCTCCACCTCTGGGAAGGGAATGGAGGCCGAGGAGGTCCTTCCTGGAACAGTCCCTGCGCCTGCGGCTGCTGCCTGTCAGAAGGAAGCGGTGTGTGTTGGGGGCTGTCACCCCGCAGGGCAGGGGGAGCCTGCGCTCCGGGCCAGCACCGCTCAGCTTCCTGTGTGCTCGCAGGCACATCAGCTGTCCCTCTGTGCCTCAGTCGGCTTGTCAAAGCCCAGGGTCATCACCGTGGTGACCTCGGGATGCTGCACGGTGCAAGGGGCACGGGAATACGAAGTCCGCCTTGCACCAGTCCTTTCCATGCTGCTTCTTAGGCCCCGGACCCGCCCTGCTATCACGGCACATTTCCCAAGGACCGCTCAGTGCAGGCAGCGTATAGGACGCTGGTCTCACCCTCCCCACGGCCCCACGGGGACCCTGCAGTGGTAACAGAACTTTGCGCAGAAACAGCACTGCTGATTTGGCCTACTTTGATCTGCACAACTGCAGTTCACGGGCTCACCCTTACAGTTTGCCCGAGTTCACACGGCTATGGGTAGCAGGGCCAGGACTAGAGCGGGGGCCTGCTTCACTCGAAACTGCCCTCTATGGAGGACTTCACAGGGCTAGAGGGAGGGGACGGGGTCCACTCCCTCGCCACAGATGCCTCCCACTCCCTAGAGACTAGTCCTCTGCCGCCTCCCTCCCAAATGCCTGTGCTTTCTGGGGAACCATGGGAGGTGGAGACAGAGGAAACGGGGGGGGGGGGGCGTCCTTGGTAGGTGGCTGTGGGGCAGGCACAGGAAGGAGATGCTCCCCTGCTAGCAGATCAGCTGCTGCCCTGATTCACATGTGCTCCTGCTTCTTTGGCCGGGAGGGGTCCGGTCTAGCTGTGGCTTCCTCCTTGATGGGCCAGGGCCTGCCCGCATGCGCAGTTCTCCTTGGCTTCAGTACGAGAGCCCCTCACCCTTCCTTCACATGATGATGCTCGGCTAGGCCAGGGCTGGGGACAGCGGACAAGCACAGCCTTGGACTCTTGGTGTTACTCCCTTGATTTCCACGGCTATCAAATGGGGACAACCTGCTGGCAGAGTAGCCAACAGGGTATAAGTTGACCTTAGAGGTGCCACGACAGGGTGGGTCCTGTGCTCCCAGAATCTCCCTCCCGGGATCTGGGCCGGCTCCAGCAGGCTGGGCCCTGATTGGGTGGGCTGATTCAGCTTCCTCACTACGGGGCAGGTCACTGGAGGGCAAGGATGGGCCCTGCTGCTCCTGCTCCTGGCCCAGGCTGGCACCTGATGGGACTCAGTGAGGACTGCACTGCCGGGAATACAGTAGGTGTTCACGAAGCAGGAGTTCCTACCACAGACAAGGAGATGGGGGAAGGCTCTGACATTTTATGAAGCTCAGGACGCTGCACACCGCTGTCACAGTGACCAAGAGCCGACAAAGATGGTACCGTCATCATTCGGGTCCCTCTCTCTGGTCAGTGCAGGCTGGCTGGGGCCTGGCTGACCTTTGTTCCCCCGCATGCAACACTGCACTCAGTAAATGCAGAGAACTGAAAATGTCACCTACCACCCTGCAGTTCTGGAGGACGGAGTGAAAGGATGAGGGCCTCTCAGAGAGGAAGTGGAAGAGGGGAGACGGTGGTGGGGTTAAAGATACAGCGGGGTACTCACCAGGGCCCTTGGGCTCAGGCTGGGGCAGCGTGCCCCTCTGAGGGTCCGCAGAGCCTCCTGCCCCGGTCTCGCTGGCCAGGCTGCTTTGGCTCCCCGAGAGGTGGCTGCGTGGGCCGGTGAGGCCCATTCTGGGAGACTCCACGCCGCCACCTGCAGGAGACCACGTGTGTGTCTGGATGGCTCCGTACTGGGCTCCCCACATCCAAATGGAGACAGGGATGAGCTCAGAACAAGCAGATGGTTACAATCTTTTCCTTTGGGATTGTGGTGGTATCTGTGGGTGGTTTCTTGCAGCCTCTCCCCTGGAATCTGCCCCCAGCACAAAGCTGTCATGTTCCAGCAGGAACCCCCTCTGTGTTCCAGCAGGACTCCCCGCTTCTGATTGGTCTGAGATACCAAAGCATCAAAATGGGCCCCGAGGCCATTTCATTAAATAACAAATCACCACCATAAAAACCCACAATTATTAGTTTTTCCTGCTGTCACAGAACAAGGGTATAGGAGAAGGTCTTACGAGATTCAAGGAAGGTATTACTGTCTCTACTCACTGAAGAACCCTGACACGAACATGGTTATTAGTCCTTGCCTGGCTCAGAGTAAATGAGGCCCTTGTACCATTTCCCATCTCCTGGTCCTGCCTGGTCACAGCTAGGGGTTGATGTGAAAGGAGGGGACTAGGTAGGGGAGGAGGAGTGCAAGGAACCTGCTCTGGAAATCTTTGCTTTTCTAATGTAGCACTTTCAGCCTGAAGGGGCCTGGACCCGGGACAGCTTTTATCTTTTACATCATTTCTGCCAAATGAGACTGACTGCCTGGAAAACTGCACTGAGGATTGTGAGGCCACATCACGGCTCTGTGGGAAAGAGTATCGTGACCAACAGGTGCTCTCTGCCACAGGCACGGGGCTGGGAGGAGCGGCCTACAGACTGGGCGTTTGCTCTCTCTGATCTGACCCAAGTGTCCACTTGCAATAGGAATTCCTTCCACAGGAGCTCTGGCAGGACATCACCCTGTCTTGGCTCCAGGTCAGCACCCCAAAGCATCTATCCTAGTTTGGGATAGTTGTTGGGAATTTCTTTTTCAATAATGGACTAACGTCAGCCTTCCTTTGAACTGTCTCTCAAAGATCCTGGTTCTAACCTAGGGACAACTCTGAAAAAAGCCGTCCTTTTCCTGGAAGGCCCTTAATATAGTTGAAGAAAAGGCAAATGTCTTTCCTTTCCCCAGAGGAAAGCTCAGAGATGCCAACGCCAGAAAGAATCTAGGAGACCACCTTTCCCATCTTTCTTGAGCTGCAGAGGAGGAAGTGCCACCCAGAGGTAATGGCATGTTCCAGGGACCCACTGCAATTTTATGGCAGAGTGGAGCTAGTTCAGGGAAGTGTGTATCTGCTTTTCCAGCCCTTATTGCTCAGGAGGCGGAATCTCAGCTGGGTAATGGCACACAGGGGAGGTTGGGAGGAGCCCAGGGGTCCCTACTAGCAAAGCTACTCTGCACCCAGGGCTTGGGAAGCAACAGCGTCAGTTGCCACACCTACCTGACTCCGCCACGGGTTTGTTGCCTTTCTTTTCCCGGGACCCACCGGGCGGGAGTCTGTCCTCCAGGCTAGAAGAGCTGAGATCTGAGTCACTGTCACTGTCACTGGAAACCACTGGAAAAGACAGATAGGGCGGAGATCACCTTTACTGGCCACTACTTGGATGGAAGGAGCTAGGGCTCTGCCAGCCCTTTTGTTTTGGGCATGAGAAACAATAGCTCGAGGTGGGGCAGTGTGCTTTTCTGCCAGTCAGAGGGGAGACCTGGTGTGAGGAGGCTGGGACATGAGCTCAGCATGCCCAGCACCAGCAGGGAGGGTTTGCGCTTGGCCAGCCACCTCCATGTGTCACTGTCTCTCTGTGGCACAGCTGGACCTTTCTGGCTTGGTGGAAACTTACGATCACCTTTCCTGCAGACATAGCAGTCTGAGGCCTTCACCTAGAAAGGCCCAAAGGCAGAAGGCAACGGCCTTCTACATAAATGAACTCATGGAAGCTTCAAAACAATCCTGTGAGGTGGGAAATTTTTTTTGTTTGTTTGTTTTTCTCTGGTACGGGGGACTGAACTCACGACCTTGCACTTGCCAGGCAGGCGCTTTGCCGCTGAGCTAAATCCCCAGCCCTGAGGTGGGAAATATTGCAACCCCATTTCACACGTAAGGAAACTGAGGTGTGTGAGGGGCTGGGATCCTAAACTGGGCAGCCTGGCTCTGGAGTTTGCGCTTGCAGCCACGCTTGTTCTACCGGAAGATCTGACCTGGGAGGCTGCAGACTCAGGCTGCCAACCCAGTGCACCCAGCAACTCACAGTGGGGTCTGGAGAATGCAGCAGGCACAGGTGGAGGTGGGGTCCCAGGAGGGGAGAGGAGGAGAGGGGAGGGGCTCTCACAGTGAACGTTCTCCCTTTTCTGCACTCCATGAGACCGTATTTGGCTGGTTCATCAACAGTGGGTGTCATAATACAGGATATATTCATCCTTGAAACATTCTATTTTAATTTTAAACACAGAAATGTACATCCATTTGCCAATCTTCTGCAGCAGGCCCTGGCTGCTGCTTTGAGATTGGGCCCACATGGGCTTTCGTGTATAAACTGCCTCCATATTGCGGTGTCTATGACTCTGGCTTTAGTTTCTTTAAATTGGAACGGGAGCTTAAAGACACTAGCATAGCAATCTGACTGCAGGGTCCTTCTATATTCTCCCATTTCTTCCTGTTTTTTACAGTTGTCTTGCCCACATCTAATTCAGCTATTTTTTTTTTTTTTTTTAAACCAAGTGGCTTCTATCAAGACTTTACAATATCTTGGTTTTAATGAAACAGCTCTGGTTTCCTTTCTGACTCTTTTCATCAATTTATATAACATTTAATTAAGTAACATAAGGATAATAACAAGTATAATTACATAGAAAGATGTGGGATCAAAGGTAACCAGCTCTCTGCCAGGCTTGGTGGCACATGTCTGTAACCCTGGCTACTCAGCAGACTGAGGCAGAGGACTGCAAGTCTGAGGCCAGCCTGGGTAACTCACAGGCCCTTGTCTTATTTTACTTTGAAGTGCGAAAGGCTGGTCACAGAGCCTGGTAGAATGGGTTGAGTTCTAGAAGCAGGCACTGTGCTAGGCACTTAGCGAGGAAATCTTAGTCCTCTCAACCACTTTGAGCCATCGGTTCCCGTTGGTGGAAGATAAGATTAGCAACAGAATTGATCTATGCCAAGGGTGGCTAATAGGTTTCATTTGATCTGCCAAGTCCTTTCTGCAGCAGCATGCAGTGAATTCTGAGATCACATTAAAGCTCGGCGGGGGAAGCATCTGCCAGTTAGGGAAACCCAGTGTTGGTACAAGAGGGCGAAATGGCAGCTTCCATCTGGATCTAGAGCCCAGCCTATGTCAGCTTGCGGCTAAGGGAGTCACAGGCCACGGAAGCAAGCAGCCAGAGGGCTGGAGTCGGCCGATCACTCTGACTCTGAGATGTGCAGCCCTGGCGGGCACGCAGAGTGGTTGGTACAGTGCGGGTGCTCCATGGAGGTCTGCTGATGTGGCACTTGCTTCTCTGGTGTCCTCATCGCCTGCCAGTTTCATCACCTAGAGGGGCTCTGTGACAACGGCCCCCCTGCCTGGCACCTGTAGGTGCTTCCGGGTCAGCTCTCCCTCTACACAGCCCAGGAGGCTACAGCCAAACACAGACGCTGGCTCCGCCCACTTTAAAGGGCTCCTTCACCTACAGGACCAAGCCCCGGCGCCTTCCCACCAAGGAGGCTGGCGTGGATCTCCTTCCGTAGACTGCCCCGGGGGTGGGGATGGGACGACCACTGCGTAACTCTTCCTGGCTTCTCCTCCTTCCATCTGCTCAAGGACTGTGCTCTTTTGTTCTCTGGTTCCTTCCCTCCCCTGCCCACCAGGAAGACTTCTGCTTTGGTATTTTGGGCTTTGTGATACACAGCCAAGAGGAGGCGGTGATGAGGAGAGGTTGTGGTCCATGTGCCCCTTCACAGGATGTGAGAAGAGGGACGCATTTTGCTTTGCAGGGCCCGGGCTGAGCAGCTTTGAGCCTCGATCCACCGAGACCAGACCCCACGGGCGTCAGCGTTGTAAGCATTTACGTAATTTTGACTCATTCCCTGACTAAACAGCCCCGTGGGTGCCCAGACAAAGGGGGTGGGAGGAGGTGGGCGGGAGGCAGAGATGGCTGATAGACACCTGGAAAAAGCAGCTCCCCACATCCCCCTTGGGCCATCTGCTAAGGAGTCAGGGCTGTGGCCACGCTCCAGGCACCGGGGAGTCAGTCCCACAGGGCAGCAGTGGCTGACCTCCACATGTTTCCCTATCTTTCTGGCCAAGATGCTCGTGCACCATCTAGTCGTGCTTCCCGACCCGGAAGCTTCCATCTCCCTTGAGGCTGACATGCAGGGTCAAAGCAGGTAGGGGCTAGCGTGGCCACGGGGCTCTGGGGAGTCAAGAGGTGCCTGCTGTAAAGGAGAAAAGGCCAAAGGGCTCAGCAGGTATGGGGGAAAGGGACGTCCCAGCACTCAGCATGGTGGCAACTTCATGTACCCATTTCTCCACTGGTGCCTGTTCTGACATCTACTGTCCATTTCACAGAGCTGGGCTTGGGACCAGGCTAAAGTTCTAAGGCGTGTGTGCCACATGACACTGGGAGTACCATTTTTTTTTTTTTTTTTTTTTTGGCTTTTCTCCAGTACTGGGAACCGAACTCACGACCTTGCGCTTGCCAGGCAGGCGCTGTGCCGCTGAGCTAAATCCCCAGCCCCAAGAGAACAGTTTTGTTGTGAGGTGTGGACCTTGCTCAAAATGGCTACCCTGGAGGTGGGGTGGAGGTGCCAAGTTGCCTGGCTCCACGGGGAACCATGGGGTGTCTGTATCACACAAAGTTAAAAAAGACAAACAAACAGGAAGCTTCCCCAAGTTACCACCAGCCGACTTGTTCTCTGACTCCTACTACAGCCCCCAAAGGACTCAGCCATAGAAACGGGGGAGCAGATGACAGATGAGCTCATAACATTGTCACGGAGCAGCCAGCTGATTAGAAAGACCATTTCTTCCGGCTGCCCTGTCCCCTGGCCTGGCCACCTTTGCTCATTACACTGGGACTTGACTGGGGCCAGCCCTCAGTGCGGAGGTCTTTGTGCTGCCGACCCGAATCCCATTTCTAATCTACTCTCATAAACCCTCCTTGAAAGAAACGATCTGAAAGATGTCATCTTTTGTCAGCCAGTGCCTTTTACTGTCACTGGGGAAAGAGACAGCCAAGAGAGACCCAGGCCCCATGCAAACCCCCTTTACCCAGACAGTCCCAGCGCTCTCTGGCGGCCAAGGGAGCAGCTATTTCTTCTTTCTGCCCCCAAGATGTCCCCGTAAAACCCAAACCTTGGCTATTATGCCATTTGATTGCCACTGCCACCTTCCCCCTGCACAGCAGCTGGAATCGTAAATCTTCCAGGTCTATTAACAAAGCTTTCAGACTTATAAATCTTTTGGCCCTTGTTCTTCCATCCTCCACAAAACACTCAGGGTGTCTGAGGGCTGATTTTTTTCCTTTCCTGTCGTTTCCCCACGGTTTGGTGAGGAGCGCTTATGTTCTGCCCATGCCTGATTTTTTTCTACTGGAGATGGGAAAACTCCAGGGAGAAGACAGTCCCGATAGCCTATGGGAGAAGGAAGACCATCACATGGATTCACCAGGCTCCTTGTAAGGCAGGGGCAGGGAGGACTCGCTCTTGGTTTTGCTCTGCAGTGGTGTGAGGGCTTGGACCACTTACTGGGAGACCTGGCATCCCTGAGATTTTCCCATCATCCCCAGGAAGGCTGTCCTGCTTGGCCTGGCACTTATCATAGCAGCGGACAGACAGCCCAGCCCCAGGCAGGCCCACTTCTCTGGGGATAGGCCAGCTTCCCTGCCCCCACCCCCACCCCAGCTTGCTCTTGGTTGGATTTGCAATTTGACTGTCACCATGGAAACTGAGTTTTGGTACTTGAAGTGAGGTGGGGAGAGTCTTCCCTCTTGGAGAGTCTCCCTTGACTGCCTCAAAGGACACATGCGGCAGCTGCTCTTCTCTGGAGATATCTTGCCAGGGACGGTAAAAGGGACAAGCAGGTTGAGGACTATTTGGCCTCACACTGGGATACGGGGGAGGGCTGCCTCTAGGCTCTACTTGGTCACCACCTCTTTCTGTGCCTCAGGCATCTCTCTAGGCTTCATGGCAAAAACTAAGCGGCAGACACACAGGCACTGGATCTGAGTCCTGGCACTGAACTCAGGGTCAGCCCAGCAGTGGAGAGACCGCTGATGCCCCTCTCTGGTCAGGAGGTGGGGACTGCCTTCTGGGCCACACAACAGCCGCCTGCCTGCCACAAGGGCAGCTGGCAGCCTGGATGCTTGGGAGGCACTTGTGTGCTATGGCTGCTCGGCTTGGAGCCTCCCAAAGCCCCCAGAAATTGTGGGAATTAGAGAGGAAGGGAGATATTTTCAGCAAACATTCTCCCAAAGCAAAGCAGATGGTGGAAAATTTTGCATACTGAAAATAAAAAAAAAAAAATTAATGTAAGGAACAATGATAGCGCCCTGGGGAGTGCACAGACATTTCCCATTAGCCCCCGCCCCAGCCCACCCGGCGGGCGCAGCTCAGGTGCAGAGCTCTCCCCACTGGGACAGGGGACAGTTGTCCCTCTGCACACGGAGCGGAGCCAGAAATCCCACAGAGATGCCTCCAAGTCTGGGGCTCTGTTTCGGTGGCAGAGGGAGGGAAGCGTGGGGTGGTAAAGAGGCACAGCTCTGACTCAGACGCAGGCTTGGGTCCTGTCTCTGCCACTTCCCAGCTGTGTGACTCTGGGCCAGCGTCTTCACCTCTGCGTGCTCAGTGGGCTTTTTCAGTGAAGCCGCGGGGACGATGACCCCCTTCTGGGAAGCTGTGCGCATTAAAAGGCGTGGCGCTGTGCACCTGTCATCGCAGCTACTTGGGAGCCGGGACAGGAGCATAACAAGTTCGAAGTCAGCCTGGGCAACTTAGTGACACCCGCTCTCAAAATAAAAGGGTTGGGGATGTAGCTTGGCACTCGGTGAGTTCAACCTCCAGTACCACGAACAATACACACCACACAACACAGGCAGGTGGCACATGGTAGCGCTTGATAGATCGGAGCTGTTTTATTTTTTTTTTTTTTTTTTTTTTTTTTTTTTTTTTCTCCGGTACCGGGAACCGAACTCACGACCTTGCGCTTGCCAGGCAGGCGCTTTTGCCGCTGAGCTAAATCCCCAGCCCCGGGAGCTGTTTTATTTTGGGGAGGAGCATCCTGAACTCACAGGCCCACGTCCCCTAGTGTGGGTTCACCTGTGGTGGCACCATGCTTGGTGCCCAGGCCAAACTTACAGGGACTGTCTTGCCTCTTTCGTGGGAGGTGGATTCTCAGACTGAGGCTGGAGACAAAGTCTTGCTAAATTGCCCAGGCTGACCTAGAATTCCTGATCTTCCTGCCTCAGCCTCCCAAGTAGCTGGGATTACAAATGTGTGCCCCTGCACCCAGCTTAGCTTACAAATTATTTTTAAAAATTGGAATCTAATTCATCCCCAGGAGCCCACTGACGCCACACTTTTTTTGTGTGTGTGGTACCTGGAATCAAACTCAGGACCTTGTGCTTGCCAGGGAGGTGCTGTGCGGCTGAGCCACATCCCTGGACCCTGAAGTCACACTGGCCCAGGGGAAGGAAGGGTGGAGGACAGCTCCTCTTCCGCTGCTCAGCACCTCCCAGCATTGCATTTCTCTCCCAAGCCTGCCAGAAGCTGCTGAGGGCAAGGCTGGGTCTCCACCCAAGACCGCCTCCTTCCCTGAGCCTTAATCCCGGGCACTCAGCACACCTGCGGTCTGAACACTTTCCCTAGAGGAAACCCCTCTGTGTGAAGATGGCAGGATCGGAGGGTGGTCAGAAAAGGGGGTGTGCTGGGGGCACAGGAGACCCCCGAGTCCCATCTGCCACCTCTGTCTCTCAGAAGAGCTGCGTGCCCACCACGCAGGCACTCGCGCGGGACAAACAGGTGGCTTTGGCCTGGGCAGGGGTGGGGGCGGGGCGATGGGAGGTTGGTTGCCATGGACACAGGATGAGTGGGCCCTGGGGAGAGCGCGCTGCTCACCCAGAGCCTGCTCCTAGGGGTCGGAGTGGGGACAGATGCGTTCTGAAAACTTCCCCAGGACTGGACAGGGAGAACAGTGGCCCGGGGCTCCGGGGAGCCTGTCCTCCCAGGAGGGGAGTGCTGGGAGCCCGAAACTGCTCAGGGCCTGCCCGTCCCTCCCTCCCAGGTCCTGGAGACCTGGTGTGCTTCCGCGCTTGGCTGCCGCCCAGCCTGCGAGACGGGGCCAGCCAGAGGCCTGCCTCGGAGCCGGGGGTGCTGTGGCATGTGTGGAGAGGGAAAGGAGGGCGACCCCCTGCCATGGCCCCCCTTGCCGGCCGCCACTGGATGGTCTCAGGCCAGGGCGGGTCAGCAGGGGCAGGAGCGAGCCGGCCGGAGAGTCAGATGTGGGGAGGGGAGGGTTTCCTGTGCTTGCTTATTCATCCGCCATCGATTTTAATTTACTCCCTCCTCAGGATCACAGGCAGACAGGAGGCACCGATAACGAAGACAAATCCTCAGACCAGCAGAGATGTGGTTGCCAGCGTGGAAATCCTGTGGGCCCTCCCTCGCTTTCTGGGCTTTGGATAGAAGGCAGTGGCTGGATGGAAGCTAAGAATGGCTCCCTCCTCCAGAGAGACCTCGATACACAGGCGGGGGAGGTGGCAGCCTGCAGGGGGGGCAGTCAGAGAGGGCTTCCTGGAAGAGGCGGAATTTACAGGTGGGCATGATGTAGGCATATATAAGCCCTCAGGCGGGGTGAGCCAGGCATGCTAGAGGGAGACCAGGAAAGTCCCCTGGCTCTGGCGCCTGGAGGTGGAGGGGTTGATCTGGTCTGGGTGTGCTCTGCGCTGTCAGGGGGCAGATGATTGCTTCCGGTTACGGTGGACATAAAACCCAGTGCGCACACACCTCCTGCCCGCTCCCTTTCTGGGATGCAAACCGCGCCTTCATTGCTCCCTGACCTCAGATCCTTCTCTTCCTCTGACACTTTCTGCCTCTGCATCTCTTGTCTCTGTTCCCCTCTCCCGGGTCTCCACAAGTTCTGTGTCTTCTTGGGTCTCCCTGTCTCAGTTCCATCTCCACTCTCTGTCTCTGTCTCTCTCTCCTCCCAGGCTTCTCTGTCACAGTTCCTCAGGGAAAGGCTTCTGCAGCCTCTGGGGCTTGCGCCTCGGTTTCCCTCTCCTGGGTTGGAACCTCAGCCCCTCCTCAATCCAGGGAGGCTGCTCAGAGGTGCCCTGTGGGGATGGTCGCCTGCGTCGCCTCGACCCCATGGTTACCGCAGAGGCCACAGAGGCAGGGGAGGCTCCCCCTTCCTGCAGGGCCCCTCGGCCCCCGCTGGCTGCTCTGGGGCTACAGTGTGCAAGGGGCTCGAGGACTGGCCCCACCATGGACAGATAGGAGGCCCGGGAAGAGCTGCAGAGCATTGAGCAGTACTGTCCCCTCCCAGGGATTTGCTGGAGCCAGACAGGGCAGGAGGCCCAGATTTATTCACTTTGCTTGCTCCCCAGAGGCCGTTAAGTCCAGAGTGGCGGAATTAAGTTGTAGGTTCAGCTGGGAAGACAGGTGAGCGGCTGGAGAGCTGAGCTGGGCCGCACTGCGCGAGCAGAGCTGGGCACCGGCCTGGCCCATGCAGGAGGCTGCGGCCCTCGCTGCTCAGAGGCTGGAGGCCAGCTTTCCTGTTCCATCCTGGACAGGGCAGGGGCCCCAAGACTTCACCTTGCAGCTGGAGTCAACCAGTCAGCTGAGGCTGTCACCAGGTTTGGGCAAATTAGAGGTGACAGCCATGCCCCTAACCTCCATGGTGTGGCTAATGAGGGCCTTCTGCTCTCGGGAAATCAATTTCCAGGATGCTAAGGACACCCAGGACAGTGGGGGATTGCCAGGGGAGGGGAGGACAACGAACCTTAATGCCAGCTCAGGACGCCTGCCCTTCGTGCCCCCAACACTGGGCTGCTGTCTGGCTTCACCAAGGGCTCCAGGGGGCGAGACAAACCCACATCCATGGGCCTCCCTTTGAAATGTGGCCAGGACTGGCATTTAGGGGAAGGGCAGAGCTTCCTGAATGCTACAGCCGCTCTCTTCCCTTCCTTGCTGACGTGACAGAACGTGGCATGTGACCTCCGGGAGCGCCCCTACTGTTACAGGTTGGGGGAATTACACGAAATAGCAGACGCACAGAGCCCGCACGGCCTGCAGTGAGGTACGTGGAATCCGTGGGGCGGGGCCACCGTGGGAGCAGCTTCCCTTGACCACTTGACACCAAGGCCCAAGGCCGTCTCTTCCACCTGCGCAGAGCAAGGTGAGCAGTGGCGGAGCCCCGCGCCGGGCCCAGCAGCAAGGCGGTCATGGAGAAGACTGAGGCCGGGCCAGTGGCCAGTGCTTCCTCTACAGGGGGCCCACAGCGGGCGTGGGCACCTCAGCACACCCCATGCTTCCTCCCAGCCCCTCATATTCAAGTCCCCAGTGGCTGCGGGGGCCACAGATACGATGGTCTGACTGTAACTTGTTTGCTTCTTTTCTGGACCCAAGGGCAGCCTGGCACCATGCAGACCGCATCCTTCTCAGACAGTTCCCTGAGTCTCCCTGCCCTCTCTGAACGATGTGTGCGTCTGCTCTCTCTCCATGCAGAATACGCAAGGTCTCCCAGCTCACCGGCACTGTGGGACCTGTGCAGGGAGCAAAAGGAGCGTAGGGGAAGGCGCTAATGAACCAGATGAGGTGACAGGGCGGGGCGCGGGACCAACAGAAACTCAGTTCACATGTACTAGGCAAGCGCTTCTCACAGGGTGAGGCAGGCGCTGGGGCGGGCGTGACGCACCCTTGTGGGCTGCATGTTTTGGGAATGTGTGTGTGCGCACGCGTGTGTGTGGGTGGGCAGGGTGGTACCAGCGTGGAAACTGAGGAGCCCCCCATTGATACTCGGGCGTTGCTTGCAGCCTGACCCTGAAGCCCGCGCCGGCCCGGCTGTGAGGGACGGTGAGGGGCCCCCCACTCTCACGCCGACGCAGACCCTCTACAGCGGGAGTCACGGGGTCAGGACGAGGTGCAGGGACACACACGTGCCCTCTACCGGCCACGGGGAAGCGTCAGTGAGTTACGTGGCTGCTGCAGGAAGCCTTCGTTTCCAGTTTGCCCATTTTTCTTGCAACAAGTGTCCTTGCTGGTCTACCTCCTGTTCTTTCTCTTTCCACAGGGACATGGAAATGACAATTTCGCTTTCTTCTTAGTAAGCCTACAAGGACTGTCAGAGGCATCAGGGAGGGGGGGGACTGCGGCACCCCACAGCTTGTGAGCTAGCCCTTTGTGCGGGGAGGAGGGGGGGCGCTACTTAGCTGGACCAGCTTTTCCAGAAGAGGGCAGTTTGGGCAGACCTTCTGATTGTTAAAAGCAAAGCCAGTACTCTGCTTTTCTTTTTAAGTGAGACTTCTCCACATTTAAAACTACTGACAGTGAATTGCAAGCAGTAAACCAGATCAGGTCACTGCTAGACCAGCTTGTGACCTATGACATAGGCAAATGTGCGACCCTCCAAGGACAGACGGCGTCGCACCTCCCGACGCGGACGCCCTCCTGCTCTGCGCCGCCTCCCTCCAGCTGCTCCAGCCGGCTCAGCCCCTGCACGCAGCCCGCGTTCCCAGCTGCTCCGAAGGCTGCGGGAATTCAGGCGGCATGGCCAGCCGATGTGACAAAAACAGCAAGTCCCCGGCACACTGGGGAGGTGCTGGGATGGGAGAGGGCGGCCGAGGGCTCAGAGGACCTTCCACGGTGTTAATTTCTCAGGAATGGAGAAATGAGGAAGGCGGCTTAGCAACAGCTGGCTTTGGGCAGTGAGCAATCCTGTCTGAAAATAAAACATTTTACAATCCACAACCGAGGCTCATTAAGAATGAATGGATCTGCTGGTATAAATAGCACGCTGCGTTAAGAAGTCAGGAAACAGCATATGCGTTTGATGGAAAAACGGCTGCCACGGAAATGCTTGTTAGCTCTGTCGGCCCGGGCTCTGCGCTAACGAGACAGAGGCCTCAGGTTCAAAGCCCGCGTGGGCCATGCGGCTTTCCCAGTCTTGAGACACAGAACGTGTCTCTTGTCCCACATTTGGTCCCAACATGGGCACATAACTCTGGATTCACAGAAATAATGCACAGTGAGCTCCTCCCAGCATCTGGTCCATAGGATCTCCACTATAATATCCAGTCTCAGTTTGAATGCTCCCAGTGGCGGAGAGCTCACTACCCTGTGAGATGCAAAACACTCAGCTCTGTGGCTGGCTGGCTATTGACCGGGAGGCACCAGTTTTCCCCTGCTCTGCCCCAGCTGCCCCTCGGGGAAAGCAGCCATCCGGGGTGGAGCTGAATGTTGTGTCTGACTGTGGGCTAAAGGGGCGCTGTGAGCAGAAATGAGGGGCCAAGCACCTCCTCTCCTGAGTGTGGATGTGGGGTCTTGAGAGCCTGGGTGGAGGTGTGACGGGGCTGGTGCAGAGACTGCAGGGCACACAGACTGCTAAGCAGGCAGAGGGAGGCGACTGGAGTCGAGACAGTCACCTCTCATCTCCAGGAGACCTATCCTCACAGCCAGGCCATAACCTTTGGTTCTGGGCGACCCAAAACCCTTTGACCCAGCCAGAAAAGACAAAGCCAGAGTGGTGCAGACAAGGGCAAGAGCTTCATTCCCTACCGTGCTCGCGAGGGGAGGAGCGCGGGTCCCCACCCCTTGAGGCTGCAGTGCCGCAGCCTACGTGACCTTGGGCAGACGTCCCCTCCTCATCCATCACCAAGAGTCAATTTCACCGTCTGAAGCTGCCCCAAAGGCCGCTTTGAGCATCAGATGAGATAATGACCGTGAGTCACAGTGTGCTCAGGCTGAGGCCAAGGAGCTTGGGGAGATGGTGGCCTGGGGATGGACAGGTCAGCTGGAGGGTCATCAGCAAGGGTGGTCCCAGGCAAACCTCTGCAGCCTGAGCTGAACCAGACTGCTTAACCCGGAAGTTTGCTTTCCCTGGACTACAACCAGGATCCCAGTCTAGAATTTTTTTTTTTTTTTTTGTCTTTTTGAGACAGGGTCTTGCTATGCAGTTCAGGCTGGCCTTAAGCTCACTTTGTAGCTCAGGCTGGTCTCAAACTTGCAGTGATCCTCCTGACTCAGCCTCCTGAGTGCTGGGATTACAGGCGTGCGCCACCACGCCCGGCTCAGTCTAGGATTTTTAAACAACTACTTGAAATTTAGCAAACCAATGAAGCGATAAGGAAGTTTCTATTTCTCTTCAAATTACCCAAGTGGAACTAATCCAAAACCTCCAAGTATTTCCGTGGAGCAGACCTTGAAGGGAGCCAGGGTGTCCCTCTGCTCAGTGCTGTTCAGGCCTTGCCTGGTTCAGATGTGCGAGGGCAGGACTGGGGAGGACTCCGGGGAGACAGTGACCCGGGCCTCGGTGGAGAAGGGGAATGCACTGCCCCGCAGCTGAGCTGCCCTCGGTGTCTGCCAACTCTAAGGGGACAGAGGCGGGAGGAACTAGGTATCTGCATCGCAGAAGTGGAGATGCTTTAGGCTCTGGAGAAGCGGGGCGGCCGCCTCCAAGGGATGAGGACCTGGAGCCTGGGCGCTGGGGCTGCTCTTCGCACCTCTGTCTCACAGGGCAACAGGGGCCAGGCAGGGCACAGAGGCCGGCTGCACTTGTCACTGCCATGAACTCAGAGCCACAGTCTGCAGGAGGAGGAGAACTGTCCCAGAGGTGGCCAGGTCAGCCCCGGGGCCCCGGGCTCCAGCCCTCCCAGAACAAGAACGAGTGTCCAGCTGTAGTTGAGCCTTCCGGGGGTACATTGGGGTTCTGCAGGCAAATCCTCGGCCCGGCACCTGGGTCCAGAGGACAGAGAGAGGAGCACACCCAGGAGTCACCTCATCTGTCCTTGAGAAAACACAGAGGAAAAGGCCACTTCTACTTTTCCCCTAATGCTTGCGAGGTTTTATTTATTTACTTATTTTGATACAGGGTCTCCTATGCTGCCCGGGCTGGCCTCAAACTCCTGGGCTCAAGTGATCCTCCTGCCTCAGCCTTCCAAGTAACTGGGACCAGAGGCGGTGCGCTGTGCCTCGCTCATTATTTTATTTTTAACAATAGATCTTCAATGAGTTTCTGGATACACACAGAAGAGGATGGAAATCTAATTCCGCTAGCTACAGTTATTAAATAAATCTGTTTCTTCCCCACTGAATTGAAAAGCTAAGTTCTTCTCCCCTATAGTCTTAGGCCTGTTCTATTCTAGTCTACAGGTCTATTTATTTCTGTAATAAATAAGCTATTCTCTAACTTCCTTATGAATTTTTAATTGAGATACAATTCATCTCCCGTATAACTCACCCTCTGAAGTACACTGTGCAGCAGTTTTTACTACAGTCACATGTCGCGCAGCCATCACCACCACCTGGTTTCAGACACAGGAACCTTCATCGCCTGTGCCTCTGCGGTCATCTCCTGTCTCTTTCCATCCTCCCCAACCCCGGGTAGTCACTGGTCTGTGCTCTACCTCTATGGATCTGCCTGTTCTGGACGCTCTGTATCATACAGTAAGTGGCCTCTGGACTCTGGCCCCTTCTGCTTAGTGTACTGTTTTCAGGGTTCACCCGTGTTACAGCATGGATCAGTGCGCCGTCCCTTTTCACAGCTGAGTGATATTCCACCTATTAACTGTGTCCTGTTTTGCTTCTCTGTTCATCAGCTGATGGCCATGTGGGTTATTTCCAATTTTTGGCTACTGTGACTAGTGTTACTCAGAACATCTGCATTTTTATGAAGTTGAAAATCAACTATTTCTTCCTTTAAAAGTTCATTGGAAACTTGACAGGAATTACAATACCCCTATACCTTTGGAAGGATGGGATTCTTATCTGTCTCTGTGTTTAGGGCTTAGTTTTTGGTCCTTTGAAAAATGTTGTGGAAGGAGTGTCTGAATTTGTATTCAGAGACAGGACCTCTCTGGAAGGAATTAAGGCTACAGGAGGTTATAAGGTAGGGCCTGATTTTCTAGGGTTAGAACTCTTATAAGAAGAGCCTCCAGGGTTGGGGATATAGTTCAGTGGCACAAGTGCCTGCCTGGAAAGCGCAAGGTCCTGAGTTCAGTTCCTGGTAACACACACATACACACACATACACACAAGAAGAGCCTCTAGAGAGCTCTCTTTCTCTCTCTTAAGGCACAGCAATGAGCCAGAAGGCAGCCCACTCACCGGGAAGAAAGCCCTCACTAGACAACAACCCTGCTGCCACATTGATCTTGGCCTTCCCACCTTCAGGACTGTCAGAAAACAAATTTTTATTAAGCTACTCAGTCTCTAGAATTTTGTTATAGCAGCCCAAGCAGACCAACTCAGTAAGACTATACTTCTCTTCATGCTGGCCCTATAAATTTCTTTGAAATATTGTTTTTAAAGCTGGGTGTGATGGTGCAGCCTTGTAATCCCAGGACTTGGGAAGCTGAGGCAGGAGCATCCCTTGAGTTTAGGAGGTAGAGACCAGCCCGGGCAACATAAGAAGAATTTGCCTAAAAAAGATTATCTCTAAGCATTTAATACTTTTTACTTTTACAATTCCAAATGGGTTTTCTCATTCCTACTTCTAATTAGGCAGTATAGATTAAAGCTATTGATTTTTCTCTAAGTTTATCTTATGTCCTGTCAAGGTCCAAATTTTCTTATTAATCCTAATGTGTTGTTTTAGTATAGGTTTTTAATCACATCATCTGAAAATAAGAAAATTACTTTTCTAATATTAACAGGTGGTTTTTCTTTCTTGGACTATTACACTATTAAAGACTATAAGCCAGGCACAGTGGCAAATGTCTGTAGTGCCAGTGCACGGGAGGTGGAGGCCCCATGAGATTGCAAGTGTGAGTCCAGCCTGGGTAATTTAGCGAGACAGCGACTCAAAAAAAAAAAAAAAGAATAAGGGTGAAGGCCCTGGGTTTAACTCCCAGTACTGCAAAACAAAACAAAAAACTGTAGAGATTGGAAATATAATTCAGTGGTAGAATACTTTTTTGTTATATGCAAGGCCCTGGGTTTTACCCTCAGCATCAAAAAAAGGGGGGGATTATAAAATACTATTGAATGATAGTGGTAATGATATTGAATGATGGAGCATTCTTGACTCATATTTTGAACATGGCTTGAGTGCTTTTTTTGTCTTTCTGAGATAAGGTCTTACTACACAGTTCAGGCTGGCCTTCTGCTCACTTTGTAGCCAAGGCTGGTCTACTTGAAATGATCCTCCTGCCTCGGCCTCCCAACTGCTGGGATTACAGGCATTATTACAGGCAAAATTTTTTTTTTTTTTTTTGAGACAAGGTCTTGCTCTGTAGCTCAGGCTGGTCTTGGACTCACAGCCATGCTCCTGTCTTAGCCTCTCAAGTGCTGGGATTATAGGTGTGTACCCCTATGTTCAGATTGTTTTTGTATTTTTTGTTGATAGTTTATTATGTATGAATGGTTTCCTCACATTATTTAAGCCTTTTATTTAGCAGACTTGATTTTGAAACCTCAGGGTGGGAAAGACATTTCAAAACAAGACAAGAAACCTAGAAACCATAAAGCAAAAAAGAAGGACATATTTTACTTACACACACACACACACACACACACACACACACACACATAAAGATACTATAACAAAGACTAAGGTCAAACCTTAGTATAAAACAAAGAGGAGAAAAATATTCACAATCCATTTTACACTATTTAATATCTCTAACATACAGGAAGCACCTACAAATCAAGATAAACCAAGCAACTTAATAAGAAATGAGCAATGGATCTGAACAGGCAACCTTTAGAAGAGGAAATCTAAATAATTAATAAATAATAAACGTATTTTTATTTTTTGTAGTGCTAGGGAGTAAACCCAGGGCTTCACAAATGCTAGGTAAGTGCTCTCTCTACCTCTGAGCTACACGTCCAGTTCAAAAGCTAAAACATGCAATTAAAACAATGCAAGTTCAAGTGCACAAGTTAAAACAATGAAATGCAGTACTACTTTCCATCCTGCACCTTGGCCACTATTATAAACTCTAATAAAATCCACATCTAGCAAGGGTGCAGGACAAGGAGCAGTCGCACTGCGGTGAGTGTACATAACTACAACATTGTTTTGTAATACAGTATGGCAACGCCTATTGGAATTTAAAACGTATAGTTCCACTTTTGGAAACATATTTCACAGAGAGAAAAGCTCCAACTCCAAGGTTATAGGTATAAAGACATTTCAGTATTGCCTGCTGGGGTGAAAAGGTAGAAGCAATCTGAATGTCCACCAGTAGGTGAGTAATGAAATAACTATACATTACACTATGGAATCTTATTCAGCTATTAAAATAAGGGAAGGAGGCTGGGCGTGGTGGTGCACACCTGTAATCCCAGCACCTGGGAGGCTGAGGCAGGAGGATTGCTGTGAGTTTGAGGTCAGCCTGGGCTACGAAGTGAGTTCAAGGCCAGCCTCAACTGCATAATGAAACCTTGTCTCAAAAAAGCCAAAAAAAAAAAAAAAAAAAAAAAAGAAGGAAGGCAAATCTCTATCTAATGGCCTGGGAGACTGCCCATGATATATATATTTTTAAAAATAACAGAAAAATAGCAACATCCTAAGGGCCTATTTATTTTGTTGCTTGACAAAAGCAAAATAAGAGTTTAAATGCCTACATTAACTATGTGTTTATAGGCACAGTGGGAAAGGGGTTTGGAATGATGGCAAGTAGAGAGATTATTCTTCCTTTTTTCTTTTTGAGACAGGGTCTCTTTATGCAGTTCAGGCTGGTCTTGAATGCCTATGTAACCCAGGCTGGCCTTGAACTTGAAATGATCCTCCTGCTTCAGCCTCTTAAGTTCTGGGATTATAGGCATGTGCCACCATGCCTGGTGAGATTATTGTTTTTCCAAACATTTGTGAATTATTTAACTTGTGCTCTTGTGTAACTAAAAATTAACAAAGAAAACTGAAAGGTGGAAGAAAAGGAAGACATCTCAGAAGCATCAATACAGCCACTCAATTGCTCTGCGGATGGAAAACTTCCTGGCTTCTATCTATTGATCACCCTTCCTTCTCCAACAAAATGGGTGGGGCCAGGATGTGGGGAGGGATTGGGAGCCTTATATGCCTGAGCAGAAGGGCAGAGAGACAGAGCAGAGGAGAGGAAGAGGGTGGAGACAGTCTGAGACAGCCAGCAGGAGAGCTGGTGGCGGGATCAGCTCTATTAGCTGCGTTCATAGGGCCAGAGGACAATGCTGGCCCTGAGGTGCCTAGAGAGCTGGAGCAGGTGGTTTCAACAGTCTCCAAGGATCTGCCAGACCCAATGGAAACCCCATCATGGGCCTCCTTGCACAGCTGCTGCAGCATCATTCACTCATCTGGTCTTTTTTTTTGTTGCTGTTGTTTTTGTACCAGGAATAGAACACAGGACCTCACATTTGCAAGAGAGATGAATGTGCCCCTGAGCCTTATCCCTGGCTCTCAATCACTTATTTGATAAAATAAATGCATGCTGAGTACTAAGAAATAGGCCTATGAGGGAAAGATTTCAACGATGAGGCACTTCACTGGTGATGGGGAACCTTTCCTCAGTGCTGGCTGAATGTGGCACGGGAAGGGCGGAGCTTTCCAGATAGGCGAGGGCTGGGTCATGGCTCTGGCACTGAAGCCTAAGGGGCCAGAGAAAGGGAAGCCAGTCTCAATGATGGGAAGTCACCACAGGCGGCCATAGGCAAGGACTGGACAGACAATGATGCCTAACCCTAACCCTAACCCTAACCATTGTCTAACCATAGCCTTAGCCCTAGCCCTAGCACTAGCCCTAGCCCTAGCCCTAACCTAGCCCTAACCCTAACCTAGCCTTGGCCCTAACCTAGCCCTAAGCCAGCACTAGCCTTAACCCAGCCTTAGCACTAGCCTTAATCTAGGCCTAGCCCTAGCCCTAACCTAGCCCTAGCCCTAGCCCTAACTTAGCCCAAGCCCCAGCCCTAACCTAGCCCTAACCTAGCCCTAGCCCTAACCTACCCCTAGCCCTAACTTAGCCCTAGCACTAACCTAGCCCTAGTCCTAACCTAGCCCTAGCCCTAACCTAGCCCTAGCCCTAACCTAGCCCTAGCCCTAGCCCTAACCTAACCCTAGCTCTAGCCCTAGCCCTAGCCCTAGCCCTAGCCTAGGAAGGGGCCTGGAAGCAGCTCAGAACAGTTGCACTCCTTGCCAACCTGAAACTGTGGCTTCCTGAGGCGACAGTCCTCTGCTCGCCTCCTGTCTCCCCTCAGGCCCCGCCTCCTCTGCCTCCATCACCTGCTCTTCTCCACCCAAGTTCAGTCCTGTCAGCCCCCAGGGTGCCCACATCCCAGTGCCTCCTCTCAACTGTAGGTACAGATGTCCTCTCAGCTGCCACAAGCAGCTCAGCTGCCAGCCCTGCTGCTCCTGCGCTGGGCACAGCGGGTCTCCTGGGGGGACACAGGGCTTGGAGGCACGGGGCGGGCGTGTCTATGACCCAGCACCTCGCATGGAGAACAAGGTCACACGCCAGAGCCTCCCCAGTGGAGGCTCAGTTAATGAAGAGCGTGGAAGTGTGTGGGGTCACGGGCTCCTCTGCCATGTAATTAAAAGACCATCCGAGTCTTCGTGGCTGGGGAGGACGCAGGGAGCTGCTCCTGGCCAGGTCCTGTGTGTGCGGCTGCAAGTGAGCGTGTGTGCGCGTGCGTGTCTGTGTGAGCACGTGCACACGTGCACTGATGTGGAGCAGATGGGGCAGCGATGGCCCCCTGCAGTGGGCGCTTAGATCACAGCTGCTCACACAGCCCGCAGGGCCTCTCCTTCTCAACCCATCACAGCAACACGAACCCACTGGTGTCCGCCGGCTCGTGCTTCCGAGGCCTCTCCACCTCCCTCGGTCTGAGGGATAGGCTTGGGCGGGGAAAGCCCTGGCTCTGAGGTAGGAAGGGGACAGGACGGAAGACAGCCACGTCCCCAGGGCTGGCAGGCAGCAGCAGCAGGAGCGCAAGACTGCTGCAGTGAGGGCCAAGGGAAGCAGAGGGAAAAACACCCACAGAGGAGACAGCGACACCAGTTTTGTCTGGAAAAGCCGACTCTAGATTTTTACCTTCTAGAGGTACTGAGACAACCTCCAAATTTTTTATGAGAAACGTGCGCTACTCTTGTAATAAGAAAGAACAGCACAGATGATACAAAGGCAGGTTGTCAGATCACCATCCAAAGCTGTTTAAAAGCAGTTCCCCAGTTATTATCTTGGGGCCACCTCCCCCAGATGGACCATCATCAGGGTGAGCCCCTCACCCCCTCTGGCTCTGATCTCACTTAGGACTCTCAGATCTGGAGTCCTGGGAACTGCAGGGCTGCCTGTGGACCCCAGCTGTGTCACACTCCAGCCCTCCTGTTCTCTGGGCCTCAGGCTCCTCATCTGTACAATGGGGTTCTTTATCCCTGTCTCATCTACCTCTGGAGACTGCAAGGATGCATCACGGGCGCTCTGGAGGGTCCCTGCAGCACTAAGCACGGCACACCCACCTCCGCGCAGCCGCCCCAGAGCCCACCGGCACTGGACAGCAGGTCAGCTGGCTCGTTAGGACAGGGGAGCCAGGAGTCCTCCCCTCCTGAGACATAAGACCGGCACAGGGAAGAGGCGGCAGAGGCCTGTCTGGGAAAGACGGGTCGTCATACCTCACAAAACCCCTCTGTTGACAACCTATGCCTTCAAAAAGCCATGACAGTGGGCCCGCCCCCCCAATTAGTGCTTTTTTGGGACACTGCTCCCAGACCTTCTCCCCACCTCTCTACATAGAGCACATGGCCACCAAGCCGCGGTGAGCAGCCCTCCCTCAGGAGCAGGCGGGAGCTGAGGGCCCAGGGAGGGGCGAAGTGTGACATGAGCCCCAGGGGCCGGGGCCTGGGTCCACGTCCGCGCGTGATAAACCCATCTTCAGGCCATCCTGGGCGAGGGGCCACCGGTCTTACCTCTCCCTCGAGCCCACGTGTAGACGCGGCTGGTCTCAGTGCTTCTGGGCTCTGGCTCTGCCCGTTCCACAGAGAAAGGCCGGAAGTGGGGGTCATCAGCCCAGCCTGGGCTCTTCGGGGGCGAAATATACTTGGGGAGCCCTTTGTAGAACCAGGCCCCCGACCTCTTCCAGACCTGGGGAGGGGAGAGACGTGTGCTGAGCGCGAGCACAGGACAGGGCAGCTTTCTCCACGCTGAGCACCGCAGGCCCATGGTTTCCTGCCGTTTACCGGCCTATCCTTCCGGCCAGTGATAGCAGACGCGGAGTGGAGAGCCTGGAGCATGTGTGAGGGAAAATTCCGCTTCTGTCCTCCCTGCTGAAGGAGGGTGGTCATCCACCTTTTGAGGACACAGGACAATGGGAGTGAGTTCTGGGGATGTGAAATACCGACTTTAAAATATGTTCCTGCCAGCTTGAGCCACTGATGGTACAAACAGATCCAACTACTTTTATCAGTCTTTTACTATTAAAAAAAAGGTCTATAAATGGACCAAATCTAGTTAGTTGCTTGAATTTGAATAATTACTACCCAAATATACATATTAATACTACTCATAGCAATTAAAATTTATTTAACAATCAACAATTGTATTTCATTAAGTTAAAAAAGAAATTTATTTATATTTGTGAGTTTCTTTAAATATACATTTTTTGAGAAGGGGTTTTACTATGCAGTTCACACTGGCCTTGAACTCACTATGTAGCCCAGGCTGGCCTCAAATTCATAGCAATCTTCCTGCCTCAGCCTCCCGAGTGCTGGGATTACAGGCACGCATTACCACACCTGGCTTGCATTACAGTTTTTTAAAATACCACTTTATTTTTTAAATAAATACTTGCATTTTATTTGATAAGCCAAGGAAATCTTTTTACACTTTTTTTTTGGTACCGGAAATTGAACTCAGCACCTTGCACTTGCCAGGCAGGTGCTTATGCCACTGAGCTATATCCCTGGCCCCTTAAATACCATTTTAATGTTTTCCTTAAGGAAACGTAATATGATGACCTCTGGTCTGCTAAATCGGCACTTTTATTTGCATTATTATAATCAAATCCCCTGAGAAGCAGTACAAGTCTGACGGGACGGTCAGTGCACGACGGAGCCGCTTGGCAGTGAAACATGCACTAAAGCCCGTCATGAGTGTGTAAAAGATGACCTCACACTCTCCCATTCTTCTCTTACAGAGGGGATCTCGGAGGGGCAGCATGTTAAGGGATGGGGGAAATGCATGCAGAAACTGTCCGCTGCTACCATCTCTGTCCCCTCCAAGTCTTGGAGCCCTGGAGATGGCCTGACCCCCATCCCCCGGCATCCCTGTCGCCCCAGCCTCTGCAGGAGACCTCCGTGCCCGGAAGCCCAAGAGTGCAAGGCTCTGTGGAGTCTCTGGCAGTTGTGCCTGTGCGAGGTAGGATGTCCTCACCACGGCCGCGCCACCTGCACTGAGTGTGGGGCGGGCAGACTCTTGGACTCAGGGGACCCCCTGCACCCTATCAGCCCTGGCAGGGTTACTTGGGCTCCACTCCTCCTGCTTCTGCACACAGTGGCCCTGTGACTTTTGGGTAAGCTACTTAACCTCTCTGAGCTTGCGATTCTTCGTTGGTGAAGTGTGGTAACAGTGCTTGCTCAAGAGGGCTGCTGAGTGCTCTTGGAGAGTACTCAGCACAGCAGCCAGCACCCAGGAGGTGACTGACAGATGCCATCTGTCTTTCTGCTGCCCATCTCTCTTTCCTCTCAAGGCTCTGGCCGCGTGACAAGAGGCTTAAGGAACCACAGGCCAGGCCGCATCTCTGTATTTCAGACTGCCTTGGTGGCTTCTGCAGTGGGCACAGAAAGGACCTGAATCTCAGAGCCTCAGATTAGAATTCAGAGCAGCAGCCAAGATAAGGTTCCTAAACTCTTAATGCCTACTTCAGACAGCACCAAGTGCTCTGTAATCCCTTTCCCTGGGAAGGAAATACATTTGGGGCCTCGAGGAAGGCGGGCTGGGAGCATGGAGGGCTAAGGTCACCTTGTCAGAGAAGAGGAGGCGCTGGCGGTTCTGAGCAGACCTCGCACGTCTGAACCCCGGGTCTGTCACCTGCAGCTATGTGATTTGCATGCACCGCCCGCCCTGGCCCTCAGTCTCTTCACCAGGAAGGTGGTGCTCAACTCACGGGTTGACAGAGGGGTCCGACCCACAAACAGACATGAAATTCCAAGGCCCAGCGCAGCCACCCACGGACATGACACTTCTGACCACTACTGTTACCATCCTGCCATTTGACAGACAGGCCCCCTTTATCACCAAGGGGCCAGATCCTCTAACTGAAAGGAAGAATTTAAAATCAGAAGACCAGAGTCAGCCTGACTCCCTCTAAGACAGTATTTCCACTTTCCAAATGTCTTTGGCATTCATGCCGTGGGATGTTAAGAAGAGCCAGGCCAAAGAGAGAGACAGAGAGATAGAGAGACAGAGAGACAGAGACGTACTAATTCCTGATAAGGTTAAAGCAAGATGTGAACGCAGAACTTCTCAGAGCCTTTCATTTGCTAATGTGTACAGAACACATCATGCCCCTGCTTAAAATCTGTCTGGCTGGTTTTCTGGGTCTTTTTTGTGTCTGCTGAAGAGATTCAGTCCTACCAGTAAGTCTGCATAAACTCGGCACTTAACTGCTCAGCGCTAACTGAATAATATGCATCTGTTTCTCCAAGTACATAGTGATCACTTCTAGGCTCCAGAGTGCCAGGCTTGGGATTACCAAGTCCAGACCACGCCTTTGGCACAAATCATTCCCTGCTTCCTTCCAGCAACCCTGTGCAGGTGGGCCTGGGTCTGTGTAGTTCTAGAACAGCGCAGATTGGTGGGACGAACGCTACATGGACCTCTGGAAAGCCTTCTGCGACCGTCTTTATATATCCAAACTGGTAACTGCACCCAAACTCATGTTGAAACTTATCCCTGATTCACATGTTATTGGTATGTGGAGGCCAGAAGGGTGGGGTCTGGTGACGGACTGGGCGAGCATGTGACATCTTTGGCCTCCTTACTGTACGCCGGGAAGGCCCGGGCCTGATGCTGGGGCCATGCCCCTGGATGCCCACTGCCCGTGAGCAGAGTAAAATCCTATCCTTTATCAATGACTTCTCTCGGGTATTTTGTGACGATGGAAAATGAACTAAGACAGTAATGCAACGTCTTAGTCATTTCCCTCGTCCCGGACACACAACACTGCAACTTAAAAAAGGACAGGTTTATTTTGTCTCATGCGTTTGAGAGGTTTCAGCACAGGCTCACACACAGGAACGCCATGGTGGGAGCCCTGCCTCGGAAGAGGGCATCGCAGGGCATGGCAGCAGCAAGCCAAGGAACAGCGGAGGGGCGGCCTCCAGGTCACGGCCCAGGGCCTCTTCCCCCTTCCTACCATCAAGGTGGCTCTAGGGCCCTGTGACTCAGTCTCCTTCCAGACGCAAGCAGCTGGTCTAAAATCCACAAAGTGAAAGATGAGGCCTCCTCTCTGCTTCTCAGAGGCACTGAGTGCTAACAGTTCTTTGAGGAAAGGTTGGTATTATCCCCACTTTCCAGATGGGAAAATGGGGGCTGTAACAAGTTCAACAACTTGCCCAAACTAGCAGACCCTGTTGGCCTCTAGCCCACCCTGGAAGCTTCAGGTCTCACCCCAACAGTTTACCATACAAAGTAGCTGCTCACTGAACTGCGGGTGTGCCCTCAGTGGTCAGATAAGACCTCCATGCTAAGTGTCCTAAGACTGGATGCCCAGGGGTGAAGAGGGAGGTGAACCAAGGGGTAACAAACCACCAAGAGACCTTCTGCATGCCTCCTGAGAACAGGTGTACAATCCGAATTCAAGGGCCCTGGGGCTAGGGGTACCAGTAAGAGGCTCCCTCGGCCTCCCCCTGCCAAGTGAAGGCCGGAGGAACTTCGGTGCAGCTCTGCCTGCTCTGCCTTGGTGCTCCGGCGCTCTGTCCTCCAAGGGCTGGGCTGGGGCTCAACTGAAGCCAGCACTGAGTGCCTCTGTGAACAGTGGACATGCGTGGGCTCAGGACCCATGACACCCTGTTCCTCCTGCCCCACCGGGAAATGGCTTTGTCTTTTGTTTCTTTCCTAAGAAATACGTACATACCACATAAAACTAGGACAATAACAACAAAGGAAAATGAAGAAACTACAGGCTGCGTGTCATACTACGGCACAGAGAGAGCCCTGCCTAACACTGCATGATGAGTCTCCTCCCATCCTTTCCTGGGCATATACACAATTTTTTTTTTCTTGTTTGAAAAACACGATAAAGTAGCTCCAACCTGTTTCCCCTACCTGCACTATGTCACAGCAATGGTTCTGTGTTAACAAGTAATGGTCTCCATCATCATTTTTTAATGGCTCCATGGTTGGGATTTATTAAACGTAATTAATCCAGGCCCCCACAACGGACAGTAGAACTACTTCCAATTTTTCCCTCATGAGCTGCACCGCAGCCAGCATCTCTGCGCAGACACGTGCATCATCAGACCGTAATTGGTTACTGCCTTAGGTATAGTCCAGGAAGTGGAACTGCCAGGTCAAGGGATGTATATATATTTAGGTGACGATGCAGATTGTCAGACTGCCCTCCAGGAACAACAGTCACTTCTGCAGCATGGCACACAGGTGTCCTCAGGGCCAGGGCCTTGTATTACACTCAGGAGTAGTTTTGTGGGTGAGGGCTTAGAAGGAGGCATCTGTCAGCTCCCCGGGTTCCCAGAGTTGGGAGCTACAAGAGCGACCATGGAGCTGCCCTCGGAGATGGGAGCACAGAGCTGAGGACATGGCCCGTGCTCCCTGGTCCTCATCTCAGTGCCTCCTGTGCTCGTCCTCTGTAGGGCAGGACCATGGGCCTGACTCACAGATGTGCATGATCTGTTTAAAAGAAGATTTTAAAAGCTTTTCTTCTTTTAAAATATACATAACAACCAGGCATGGTGGCACATGCCTGTAATCCCAGCATTGGGAGGCTGAGGCAGGAGGATCACTGTGCGTTCGAGGCTGGCCTGGGTTACAAAGTGAGTTCAAGGCCAGCCTGATCTGCATAGTGAGATCTTGCCTCAAAAAGACAAAAAAAAGAAAAGAAAAAAAAAAACATAACGAAATTGACT